CCCCTGTGAGAATTATTACATTATCTCAGTGGCATTTAATATACGGCTGAGCTTTTAATTTGAATGACATGGATATTTTAACTGTATTTTATGTATTGGTATTCTATTGTGTATATTTTCAAGGTCGAAAGGCAAAGCATGAAAATAAATAAGTTACTTCATTTTTACTATTTCTGATTTTCAAAAAGTTAAAACATTGTGCTTAATGTGTAAATCAGTTTTGCTTTAGGGTGGACCAAATATGGTCCAGTGCTGTATGCGACTCAGCAGACTGCTTGGGTTCCTTCTGGAAAGGGGTCCAGTTCAACCATACAGTATTAAGGAAGTGTCAAGTATACCAAATTCTAGCTTTTCAAACCTCTGGAAACCTGACACTGGCTTGTACATTATCTTGCCATGAACATCTTTTTGTCTCCACGGTCTTCCCTGGTCTCTTTGGAGAAACATCTCTGGCTGGCAAGCCTGAAAGGACCTCCAGTGGTAAGCAGAATCTAGCAGGCAAGGAGCACTTCAACATGTGTTTCTGAGTGGTTAAAATAGGCAATCAATTTTTACGATGTAATTTATAATTCATACTAGTTGTCTCCGTACATATGGTGTTGCTTTTGTGGGTCGATGTTTCAGATACTTTATTACTGTGACAGTTTGATTTGCCTTCATGTTCAAGTTATCCCGCTCGTATTTCTCCTGTTTAGACCGCAAGGGCCGCAGATGAAGATTGATCTGCCAGCCGATACCCTTCTGAAGGCCCTCCAGAAACCCAGCGAGTTCAGAAGCCTGTAGCCGGCTAGTCTTGGGGGGCCCACCTTGCTAAGTTACAGGCAGAAGGCTGCATATCGGTGTCGTGGAAGTAGTCAGCCGATAAGGAAACTGGCCCTAACGGAAAGCTTTCTCGGCGCCGCCTTTGGCGGCGACGGACGAAGGCAACAGCGGCGTTAACACTGAGAAGGAAAAGCCGCCTTCTGGTGGAACTCAGGGACGCATCCGCGCCGTTTTCTTGGCAGTAATCCAGGTGGGCTTAGTCGCCTTGGGGGAGATCTTTTGCTGCGCGAGCCATGGATTTCCACGAGGTGTCTCACCCAGGTGCTAACAAGGCCCGGTGCTGCTTAGCTTTCTCGAGTTGAGCTGAATGCTCGGACCCCAAACAGGACTACCAGTTGTATTAGTAAAGATTTTGCCATGGGGGAGCAGTGAGATGAATTGGTTGGAAGCGGCCGCTAGGCGAAAACGGCACCGCTGCTCACATAACGGGTCCAAATTATGACTAGAGGGCCCCAGTTCCTGACTATAGAACGTAGAATTTTAGTAGAGACGTTCATTCAAAACTCCAAATAGCTATTAAGTCTAAAAGGGCAGAAGTAAATCCTGCTTTCGACTCTCAATGAAGCAACTGCTGCGTGGATGTTTTCACGCGATTGCTGCCTCCCCCCCCCCGGGCATTGTCCTTCCATGTGCAGTCTTGCGCTCTCCTACGGTAGTTATCAGCTATGGAGTTGTTCTGGCCTGGCTTCTCGGATACAAAATCAAAAAATTGTCGGAGGAAGCGTTGGGTCCTTCCTGATCTTCTTATGCAAGGAGGAGAATACGATTCTTCACTTTCCTCTATTTCCCCCCTTCTCAATTTCCAAAGGAGCTGTTTTCCTGACACTTTCTGCAACGAAAGCTTTTGGGAAAGCTTTTCATGTTTTGGTCTGCCTTTCACGGCTAACAATTCCACTATTTTCGATTATAAACTGGAGCAGAGATCTGTGGAGACAACAAGCTTACCTGTTTATAACTTCCTTTGGCACAGCACCGTTTTTCTGCGGTACAGTTGGGGCTGACTTTTAATTAAAGAGAACATATTGATAGGCTACCAAAAGGCCTCCCACCAAGTAGAAGCCAGATCGGATCATTTTCAGATTTCTCTCTATTGCTTTCCATTGCAAAGATCTTCTTGTGCAACTTATGGGTTTGCCAAAGCAATCTGCCTCCGCTCTGACAAGGGATCACCAGCAGACTCCTGGGGCAGGAGGGATCGCTTAAAAAGATAAGCCAGCTTGCCAATCGCGGCAGAAATAATTAAGCCAATTAAGTCAATACAAACAGAAGCAAGATGGGAGAGACACGTGACCCTTCTGCGGAGAGAGAAAGGAGGGAGAGAGAAAAGTGTCTGGGTCGCTCTCTGAAGATGCGGTGGGATGGATGGGATTTTGAAACGTCCATCGAACCTGGAAGCGGAGGAGGATTCACTGACGCTGCCGGGAGAAGAATAGTAGGATCGTTTACCGGCGGGAAACTTGACGAGGTCCCTGGTTTACCACCTCGATGACCAAGCTTCCAAGTGAAGGGGAGCAGATACTCTAGCCGTGTTCTTCTGCCTCGGCCCCACGCCACGCCGCGAGAAACATAACAGCCTCTTTGTTTTTTCTAGTTTGAGCTTGTATAGTAGTTTCCTATCGGGAGATAAAACGAATCAACCTTCCGCAATTATTTTCTTAATTGTCTATCCAAAAGAAAGATGAGAGAGAGAGAGAGAGAGAGAGAGAGAGAGAGAGAGAGAGAGAGAGAGATATTAAAATACAGAAATACGTGTGTGTGTGTGTGTGTGTGTGTGTTTTATTCCTCATCAGATTTACAATATACTCCTGTAAATGTAAGCAGGGATTTATTGTTAAGTGCAAAACAGGCAAATCCCAGTCCAACTTTCCCGACTGTTTTTTCAATGCAGCCCCCAGCTTTCTGGGATGGGACTGTGGGCTTTGTAATGATTTGATGTGCAGATGTAAGTGAAATTTATTATAACAACAAATATAGGGATGTCAAAGCCCAACTCTGGATTAAAGCCGGCAGCCAGAGGGGGGAAGTGTATTAATTTCAAGCAGCATCAGAGGCCAGTGTCTATTAACGCAAGCTATTCTTCAGATTCTTCCCCCCCCCCATCAGAATTAATCATTGGGAGTTAATTTGAAGCGCAGACAAGTTGCTGTTAATTTAGTGCAGGGAGGCTGGGATGGAATAAAAAGCGGAGGTGCCGGCCAAGCCTCTTGGGTCTCATTAATCAGCGAGCTGAGACGGCCTGGCTTGATTACAATTTGCAAAAAAATTCATTAGGGTCTGGGCGATTGACAATTTTTCTCTCTCCCTGTGATCTGACTCATTAGGCAGCCAAATGAACGCTGCAATGGTGAATGGTGGCATCTATCAGCCGCCTCTCCCTCGCTTGTTTATCTTCTTTGCTCCCGCCTCGGCCTCGGGGGTCCCGTTTAGGGCTTTTCCTGACCCTGCGGGAAACGACCATTCTCCTTCCCTGCTCCGTTTAGATTATTGTGTGAGAAGAAGAAATCGCCCATCCACTAGGTGGGCACGCGCTTGGGCCCTTTCCCTCCCGCCGGATGTCTTCCTGTTGTTCTCTCTCGCATAGAAAACCGTGGCAGGCAGGACTCCTATACGGACATTGTTTGCAGGCAAGGGCAAAGGCTCTAACCAGAAGGCTGTGGTGAAATCCTAGGAAAGGTTTTGCGAGCTCCCGCCGCTGCTTTGCGAGCGCCCGCCTGCCTTCCCGCCCCTTCTAACTTTTTGGAAGATGTTAAAACTGCCCTTTTCTGCTAAAATGGGATTGTTCAGCCAGAAGTGGCGGCTTTTAGGATGGCTAGCATTATGGTGGAGCCTTTGGGGCAGCATCAGGCTTATCGGAAGGTGGACCCAGAATCCGAAGAGGCCCTCTTTAGCGCGCTCAAGAGAAACGGCTCTTATATCAGGCAGCGATTATGTGCAGCCGCGCACGCAAAGGTCCCGTTTTCTTCGAAATCTGGAAAGCAGCATCACCTAACAGCGAACAGAACAGGCGTCTGACTAAGCCTCATGGCTTGTTCCGACTTGGTGCATCGGACGCAGCGCACCCCGGAGTACTGGGGCAGACCCCGCAGCAATCTGAGACTTCTCAGATCTTCCCAGTCACATTTCTGTTTCGCCAAGTGAATGGGTCTGGTTGAAAGGATTTTTCAATCTTGTTCACCGGATGCCAGTTATTAATTGGCAGGCAAGTGGCAGAAACTCTTCGGGGTCGCCTCCCGCCTCTCCCAGGTTTCACTTTGCCAGGGAGGCGCCTGTCTCCTCTTGCCTCTTCCTGCATAAGTCTGCCACCCAGCCCTAGCCTATTTTTAGCCAGTTATCTATCTGCAGAGGTTGGCCGGCATGTTGGCCTGCATATTGTTATGGGTGAAAAGCAATGAAAGCAACGCGGTTTTGAAGTGCTGATGGCGGTGGTGGCTGCACCGCATTCAATTTTTTTGTGGCAATCTGTGTTGAAGCTTCTACTGAAACTCCTTCTCCTTTTTTTACCCTCCAAAGGTAGGAGCAACGTCGGAATCAGGGGTCTGTATCTAGATTAACCTAAAAACCTTCACAATCAGTTTCTTCTGTCCCCTTCCCTTCCCTTCTTTCCAACAGTCTTGCCCGGAATTAATCCGGAAAGGCAGAATTGCTGGCACGCTGAGCTGGCTGGTCAAAGCTCTGCCAAGGGAGAAAACACTCAGCAGAAGCCTTTGCTTTTCCGTCAAGAAATGGAGGATCTCGCCTTGACCTGAACATCTCCCTGCAGACCACCAAACCCGAAGGCCAGGACATACAGCGCCTCTCCGGCCTCCCGCCTCCCCTTGCCAAGAGAGTGAAGGTCGCCACCTGCTACTCTATCAGGGCCCAAACTGGGGGTCCTGGCGCATGGCACTCCCTCAGTTAAGCTTTCGGGCAAAGCTTGCAGCTGTTCCGAGCAATGACAGGCATTTCTTCTTCATCAGGCGCTCACCCTCTTGTTGCCCACCGACCCACCCCCGTCCTCAGCTGAACCCGTCGCTTCTTTAAACGGGAAACAGGGCTGTGGCAGGGATTGGCAACACAGAGGAAAGCGCCGTTGGAATTCCACAATTTTGAAGTTTCGGGACAGCTCCCCGGTCTTAGAAGTTCGTACAGAACAACTGCTCAATCTTGTCTATTTTTCTTTTTCTCCTTTGGACATTTTATTCACAACATCATTATGTTTTGTTTCATTTGCATAACTTTAAAAAAGTAAATTACATTTGAAATAAATTAATTCAACACAATAGAAAAAACTCGTGCATTTAAAGAAAAGAGAGAGGAGAAAAGTGGCTTAGAATAAGGGGCCGGGAGGGGGGACGGAGATGCACCGGAAGAATATCTCATTTGCTTCTCCATCGCTCCCCCTTGAAAAAATGGAGAGGAGGTGGGCGAGGGTGGACGGAAAGAAGAGGAAGAAGCAGCAGCTGTACAAGTTAAACTGGTAGTTTTCTCCCCCTTCTTTCATTAAAAGAATTGGGAAAGGAGAATAATCCCAATAGTGGGAGGAGAAGAGCCGTTGAAATGTTCTGCGGTTTTTGACAATAAAATGTACTTTTGGAATGTAAGACTTCACCTCACTGCTCATTGGTCTCATCACAGTCAAAATGCAGCAGCTGAGATCCAGCTCTTTATATACACAGTTGGACAGTTTCATAAATATGTAAATAGTTCCTCCGAGTCTTTTGATACACCTTCTGGAAATATGACACGAGTTTTCTGACGGATGGTTTATGAATGCATTTCAGCCTACTTCGTTTGGTTAGCGGTTCGCTTCACTTGGTGAGTGAAAAATTCTCTATTGTGCCCCGATTTGGGGGGCTGCGGACGGACGGGGGAGGGGCGGAGAGGATTATTGTGCGCGTGAGGGGAAGAAGAGATCGGGGCTCGGGGGGGGGGGACCTCGGTCAGATTTGTCTCCGCTCACGGCCTGGCCTGCTCCAGTTGCTGGTGCTGACTCCGGATTGCGAACCGGCTAACGTGGACTGGGATAGGCACCACAATCTTCGGGTTTCGGGACGGCTCCCCGGTCTTAGAATTGGCATTGCCCGCCTTCACCCGTTTCCACTTGGCTCTCCTGTTCTGGAACCAGATTTTGACCTGCACTTCGCTGAGTTTGAGGGCGTGCGCGATCTGGGATCGCTCGGTCAGAGAAAGGTATTTCTTGCAGTGGAATTCCTTCTCCAGTTCCAGCAGCTGCTCGCTGGTGAAGGCCGTTCGCCGCCGGCGATTTTTTCCCGTTGAGGTGGTACTGTTTGTGTTCGCCGAGCTCTGACTGCTCTCCTCCAGGCCGTTGCCAGCATCGTCTTCCTTGTGAACCGATTGACCCGGCAGATTGTCGTCAGAGCTATAATCGAGATCGCTGTCTAGCGAGAAACTTTCCTCTTTGCCTTTCGAATCATCGTCCACTTTGGCGTCTTCTTTTCCGGAGGCTGCTCGTGTGGTGCCTGGAGGAAAGCCAAAAAGAACATCTGTTTTTATGTTCCACCCAGCATTCCAAAGAACAGCCTCCTCCTCCTCCGGAGAGAGATTTTAGGCTTAACACCGAGGTAGCAGAATTTGGCTTGGAAGCAGTGGGGACGAACCAGGGATAGGGCAAAGGGACCGAGAACCATTTTCCCCAGGGCTCTGAGGAGGAAATCAGAAGCGTGAAAAGTTATTTTTCGGTGGGTTCCAGAAACACAGTTTTAGGGCAGTGGTTAGAAGAGGCATCGAAATGACGAAAGCATAAGCTTTCGGGCTGAAGTCCATCACGTTTCCCCGGAAGCATCTGCTTCCACCAGTCTTTATACCTTTTGGATGCCACAAGGCTCTTCATTGTCTTAGCAAATTCATCGCAAGTGATATTTGAATAGTTCTTTGTGCCGGACAATCGCCAAGCGGGAAGCAGAACATCAAAATGGCATGCAAAATGGGAAGTAGTGCATGCCACACTTTCTCAAGCCACGACTTGCTCATTCTTTTCTTAAGCAAGGGACTTCAGAAGGCAATTCACCAGGCTAAAATGTCAGTACCTTGCTCTTTGGCTTAGTAACTCCAAATTACATTTTCTAGATTCCCAAGTCTCTTCATAAACACTTCTAATTATAGGCAAGGAGTAGTTTAAGAGGGACGATCCATCCTCTCAAAGATCTATTGCTTAACCTTCCCCCTTTCCCCTGCCCTTGTCCTCGAACTCCTAAGGGCAGTCATTTAGGAAGGAAATGCCTATATTCATGTTACGACATTATGTTATATAAATGTTAAGTTAAATACCGGGACACTCACGTGTTCATGTTTCACGGGCGGCGATAGTTACGCCTTTCTAAACGCCCCAAATAATAGCAATAGAATTACAGCAAAAGAATAATAGCAACATATGCACGCCCTATATGAATATGAATAGTGCCCATTTTTTCCCGCCCTCCTTGAGGTTTTAATTTGCTGCCTATGAGAATTGGGTGGAAAACTAAACGAGAAATGCAAATATTCTCATGAACGCACGGATACATTCATAAAGTATACGCATTTCAATTTTCCAGGCTGCCTTTCTGGTTAGAATTCTATGACCTGGGTCACCTCAAGACAAGATAATCGGCGCCCCTACTCCGTTTCCCTTTGACTTCCTCGGCCAGGGCTAGTTTTATAGCCAAAGGTCTGCAGCATGTAGAGACATAGAAATGCACTTGCCAGCCGAAGTACTTACCGAGAGAAGCCTGCACTGTTTCGGAGGCAGAGAAGGCCAGTAGTGAGCCCTCCTTGGCCAAGAATGCCTTGCCGTCTTCAGCTTCTGCTTGAATGGCATCCACCTTGTCAAAACTACCCTGGAGAGCTTGTGGTGCAAACTTTCTTGCCGCCTCTTGATGCTGCGGAGAAGCCGAGAAAGTGCCCGGCAGGGTGGCCATGAGGGTGGAAGTTAAAGCCATGCCCTGTGCCAGACTGGAGCAAAAACTGGTGGGTAGGCTGGGAATCTGATGATGGTGAGGGTGTGAGGGCGGCAGCGTGGTCTGAGGCATAGCGGCCGGGGGTGGTGGAGGCGGCGGCGGCGGCGGCGGCAGGACCACTGGCCTGTAGGGCATGAACATAGGATAGCCCGTGTAGACGAAGTGACCCGGGCTAGGCTGAGGCGGGCTGCCGATGAGCGAGTCTATGCTGAAGGCAGTGCTGCTTCCCAAAGGGCGCGGCATCATCATGAGCGACGGCTGAAAAGCTGCACTCATAGAGGCGCTATTGGCCAAGGAGGCGCGGGAGACAAGAAGCAGACAGGGCGGCCTAGTCGCTTTAGGGCCAGGTGGTGGCCGGGGACGAGAAGGACGGGGAGTGGCGGCGGCGTTGGTGACGGCAGCGTGGGGCGTAGGGGACCGCCTGGACTGGGCAACAGAGGGTCAAAGTTGGGTCTCCCTGGCCGCAGCACGGAGACATCGGGGCGGGTTGCCCTGAGCCGCGATCCAACCCGACTCGAGACGCTTCCCCAGAAAGGCCTGCCTGCCTTCTCTCCGCCCCGCGGCGCTCGCGCTCTCCTGGGGCCCTCGGAGAGCCAGACGCCGAGCGCGCGCTTCCTCTCGCACTCCCGAGTGTCGGCGGTACCTTTGAATCGCGCTCTTCTTTCTCATTCGCGTTTTGCCAAGCTCGGAACCTTCCCGGACCCACGTGGCTGCTTCGCTCCCTCTTCATTGGCCAGGAAGGGTGAGGGAGAGGGAAGAAGAGAGGAATGTGTGGCGCAGCAGCGGCGGCGAAGAGATTTTAACTCCGCCCCTCCTCCGGTCCGCTGAAAGGGAGCCGAGTCCAGCAATCGGGCGGCGCATCCTCTGAAGCTTGGCTTGATAGGAAGCTTTCAGCACGCGTGAGAAGCGGACGCGTGCAAAAACGGGGGTGCGGTTTGCCGCCCTCTGCTTTGCTTGTCTCTTGCCTTGACTGGGACACAGCGTTTCGTAGACCTGGCGCACTTGCGAGGAAATGAGCCTCCCTGTTTCAACTCTAGACTGCCCTCTCACCTCTGCACACCCACCGGAAGGCTAATGCCCCGGGTCTTCATCTGTCCCTCAGGGTGAGCGACAGGCAAAAATGGGCTCGGATCTCAACCCCTGACACCCAGCAGCTGGTTCCGAGCGCTCCATCCGATTCCTCCGCTTGGGACTTTGGATCCCCACCTCCATGTCGACTTTATTCCCCGCCCCCAGACGGGATACTCAGATCCTTTCCGAACGCTTCTTTTGCCAGCGGAAGGCCGGGGCTTGGAACGATCAGGAGGATCGGGAGCGCCAGAACTAGTTGGGAAGATGGAGTAGCAGCATTCGCCGTCACCCGCCCCTTTCCGCAGCGCGCGCTTCACTGGTTCCCTCCTTCCTTCGTCAGGGGGGCCGTTTTGGTTCTTGGAAGGAATGGTTTAAGGGTCAGCGGCAGTGACGTAAGAAATCGTACACGGGAACTGTAGGCACCACTTGCTTGAAGTCAAAAGTTTGACGATATTTGAACTTATCGTCTAGATAGGAGGATGGCTGTGTTTAGTCACAAAGCCTTCCTATAAGAGTCTGCAACTGCTACTAAAATTTAATGACTTCCACTGGGGAGAATGCCTTTTGGAGACCCTAACAAGATAACGATCAGAGAGAAATGAGGGTCGTTACATAGATAATGGGAATTTCTTTACAAGCGTAGTTAATTGGAAAATAAAGACTAATCGATATTTATGAACGTATCGATCCAAACCTTTGTAGATCCAGCCTTTCTCTAACTACTGTCTCCTTCACCCGCATTTCTGCCCCTTTCACTAAACGTTTTACGTTTTCCCACAAAAGACCAGAAGCCATTCGGAAAATCGTGTATCTTCACCACACTCCTGTCCCCTCTCCCTTTTGCGAGGAAAGCATGCAATTCATATGGCTGAAAAAGCAGTGAACGATTGGGGAGAGACCTTTCAGAGACAGGGAAGCAGCCGCAGGGAACAGCAACCCCAGGCGGGCAGACAAGGATGTTTGTTGTCTGAATTTGAACTCAGCTCCTCTCCCTCACTCTCCTTTTCATTTCTGTTAAGCCTATTTCACAGGGTATAAAATCTTTATCCCCTCCTCCCCTCTCCGTTCCCAGCACTCTCCTCAAAATAGATTTCCTCATTTCCTTACACTCCCCTTGTATGGTCGTTGCCAGTTTGGGAAGAGGTTGGAGAGCGTTGCTGGAAAGACCCACTGCTTAATTTTGGAGAGCTCGGTCTGACCGTTGGCCATACCATTTAACAATTTTATTGCCCGCTGGATGGTTCTGACGCCCAGCAAGGGTTGTAATGATTAGGCAACATCGATCCCAGACCCCTTTTGCAGCCTGCTGAATGCCAGAAAACTACCGCTAAAACACCCCTCCCCCGCTCCCGCGCCTCTTTCCCATCCATTCCTCGGGGAGATTTATGGCTGGGCAGAAAGAAGGTTCTGGGGGAAGGAGAAAGGAGGAGCCGTCCGCTTTTAGAAGTACCGGAGGAGGCTCAGCCTTCATTCCCTGATTAATTTGGCTCCTCTTCCCGCCTAGGGTCTTGAGGGAACCAGAAGCCAAATTCAAAAATAAGGTTTCCTCGGACCCTGGTCCCTATGGTAGCATTTCCCCCGCGCCTCCTTATCCTGAGGCAAAGGGCCATCCCGCCGGCTGGCCCCGATCAAGCGGCGCGTTCTTCGGGCTTGGCGGCACTGTCGTTTCGACTCCAAGCTTGAGAATCGTTTCCACCTTTGCTGTGAGGCGGTTCGCGCCGTCAGGCTGAGGGGACGAGGAGTTTGGAACGTCGGGTTCCTTCGGATGGAGTGACGGTCTCCCTCCTTGAAATAGCAGTTGACCTCAGGCTCAAGGATCTAGGGGAGCTTGTTGGAGGGGCTGGGCGAAGAAAACATTTACTCCGTCCAAGTTTATCTAAAAGGGCTGCCGGGGCGGCTTTCCCGAAGAGTTGTTGTTCCCCCAACCCATCGGAAGCACCGATTTGTAAGGAGCAAAAAGATGGAAGCCTCCTCCCTCCCTCCCTCCCTCCCTCCCTCCTTCCTTCCCTCCCTCCCTCCTTCCTTCCTTCCTTCCTTCCTTCCTTCCTTCCTTCCTTCCTTCCTTCCTTCCTTCTCCCCATAAACTATTTTATTCACTCTATTTTATTCACTCTTTCAAAGAGCTGATGACGGAGAGACCCCCCCCCCTTTGGCAAGTTCCCCCCCAATAGAGTTGACGTGAGCAGCTTTAATGGAAGGCATCCCCCTCCCTCAGCTTTTGAAACGGCTTCTGCAATTATGTCAAAGAGTCATTCATTCGCCCGGACGAATTAAAAAGGACCGAGTCTGCTTCTTTTTCATGGGCAGGCAAGTGTTTGGCTTTTCAAAGCCCCTCCAACACGATGTCTTTCTTGAGAACAAAAGGCAGGACAGGGAGAAGAAAAGCGCTCCAAACTTGTAAATCGAACGTCAAGGGAACTTTGAAACAATCTAGAGCCCATAAATAATGATAAAGGACCTGGCAAAAAGGCAAACCCATTCGATTAATAGAGATTCCCAGGCAATGATCGAGTGGATTATTTAAAGAGGAATGGCATTCAAAACAAAAACAAAAACGAAACATATAAAGGTTTCATTTGCATTCTTCTAACTTGAAAGAATTTTTTGCTTTTAAATGTGAGCAACAATTAACTTTTCCTTAAAGATCCGGTCGGAGGCGGAGAAAGGGCGGATGAACTAGAAAAATAAACTTTTCAAACTATCCTTTTTCCGCGTTGAAAGAAAGGGGTGTCTATCGTTGCTGGGGTTTATCTTGCCGGCCCGGAGAAGTCTGTCAGTAAGATTGTCAACAACTTCCAAGTTTTTTTTAATGGAAGATTATGAAATCAGGGACCTTCGGATCGTTCTATACTTAATTATGAGAACATAGACATTTTATGTTCCGGTGTTTTTAAAGGCTTTCTCGTCCTTTCATCTTTAAACTTTTAATTGCTCATTTGGAATCAGAATGTAAGGTGATTTTGTTTTTGACTCAACAATGCCTCTTTTAAATTTGAACCGGGAGTTTCTTTTTGGCATTTCACTTAATGGCTGAGGTGGAGTTGTTTGATAACAGATTAGAGAGTGATTATTTCGGTCAATGAATGACAATCCCTGATTTCTCTCCACTACAATTTCCCCCAATTTTTATCTTAATTATGACTGGATTATGATGATTATTATTTTTATCCCAACATTTATATATTGTAAAAATAAAAAAGCTAGGCACTGCCAATAACTGGATTTTGTTTTCAATTGAAATTCAACTTTGTATCCGAAGGAGAGAATGCTGCTCTTTTAGTAGTTGAATAGTTGAAAACTTGAGCACGTTGTTCTCAATGAAAGAAATGAAAACCTTGCAATCGCGGGAAGGGGGAGGGGGGTGAGAAAAGAAGATAGAGATGGAGAGCGAGTGAGGGAGCAGGAGTGAGACTCGACCTACCCGCAGCCGCCATCCCTCTTTGGTTTAGTGGCCACATAGCAACGGGAATGGTCTCCTTTTGCAGAAGTCAGGCAGACAGTCCCCACCTTTCCCCTCCCCCCGGCTCTGCTTCCAAGAGTGCACCACGGAGATGTCGGCATCCATTCCTGGAGCTCCTGAGATGTGAATGTATTGAAGGTGTGCTTGCTACCGCGATAAACGTTTAGATGAAAATGGGAATTTAATTTATATTACCGGTAGGGCTGAAGGAAGGAGGCGGGGGTAGGGACCAGAATTTAATCCAGAAAATTAACCCGGATAAATGGATTAATTTAGATGTGACCATAAATAATCCCCTGCTGAAATCTGGACTGTGTAACTCTTCTGTTATCCAGTATAGGGCGAAATGCGTCCCAGTGCAAGTGTTTGTAGGGCATTTGATTTCTCCTAGGCTTGCGAAGGTCCATTGGTCAAGCTTCGTCCTCTCTCGAGGCAGGAAGCTAAGAACCATTGGTTTGCTCTGAAAGAGGCTCAAGGATCCGCAGCACTTAATGTCTCAAAGGTGAGAAAGTGAAGCGCCCTTTCCTACGCTATAGCCTGCTGGATGTGGGCTGTGATTGTGATGATTTAAATCTACCTCTCTCAGCAGAGGAAGCGCTGCGCTCTGGTGCAGATCAAAGGCAGCAGAGCTCTTCTTAAAGCTGCAGTTCCGCTTCCGTCTCCGCCCGGGACTTGTAATCTGCGGGCTGCAGGTGTGCAGCCCGTCTCCTTCCACCGGAGCGCGAATAGGAGGGGGGGTCTGGAGGGGAGAAGACAAAGAGGGGCCTGCCTATCCCGCTTCTCGAGAGGCTGCCACCCTTTTGAAACTCTTCCAGCGGGCCAGGCGAACCTAAAGCCCCACGCCTGGGTGGGAGTCCAGACTGAACTGCAAGATGGCAGCGGAACATCGAGATTTCGGGTCAAAGAAAGGTAGCGAGAGGCCGCTGCTGAGCTCCGTTCGCTGGGCAGAGACTCGGAAAAGGAGAGGCAAAGCCTCGCTTAGCGGCCCAGGCAGCTAGACGCGCGCCCACGGGACGGCCTTTGAGACGGAAACAAGCCAGAGACTGGCGTTGAGGTATCGCCGCCAAAGATGCGCGGAGTTCTCTTCCGCGCGACAAAGCCGCCGCCTTTGGGGAATTTTTCAGAGAGTCAAGGAAGAAAGCCTTCCCATCGCGGAACTTTATAAAACGGCATTTATCTTGACCCCGAGTGATAGCAGGAGATCGGATCGGAGAAGTGGTGGCTGTTACCGGATCGTTAGTGGCAGCTTAGACATGGATTCAGGGCCCTTACAACCTCCCCCCCCCCCTTTAGACATGACGCGTCTAGCCTTGCTGGTTCCAAATGTAAACGCGCGGGGAGGGGAGCGCTTGTGCCGGCCTGGATCTCTGCCTCCTCAATTGCTCACCTGGCCTGAAAAGGGGGCTGGGCAAATTCACGAAGGGATAATGGCTAGAGATTTTTCTGTGACAGAGACTCATGTGATGCACAAAGGCAGAAGCAAATTTGGGAAACAGTGGTGGCTGAGGAGGGAGAATTTCATGGCTTGTGGGTCTTCCTGAAGTACCTAGGTGCCATCATGGCAAATGGGACCATAAACTAGGGCCACTGAAGGGTTGAAAATCTGCAAATGATATTTTGCACTGGGACCCAGTTTTGCATAAGTACTTTATTACAAGTATATTAAAAATCACTATCAATTGTAGGTAGTCGTTTGGTGTGAAATCCAGAGAAAAATCCAGTAGAAGTTCTAAACATCTTATGGAAACCAAACGCAACCATCTGGAT